CGAACGTACACACAAGGATACAATGACCTATCTCATCAACTCTCTCCTGTATTTCGCCACACATCCAGAGTTGTGTGCGTGCGAGTGTGTGTGTGTGTCAGAAAGAAGGAACTAAAAAGTGAGAGGGATAGAGGGATAGCAGAGGTTGATGGCATGGAGATATGACACTGGAACCTCTTCTGAAGATGAAATATCACAGTTCAACTGCAGCTATCAAAGCATGCCACTCTTCAATAACTCAGATGTATCAGGATATCAAACACCTGACAGATGTGAAGGGAGGAAAAGAGCATGTGGAGATGAGGAGAGATGGCTTTTTGAGATGGAAAATAGATCAGAAAGGAATATATATATTGACTGTTATAGAAATATCCTACTAATGGTTGGTAGGACCGAAAAACAGCGCAGAGGCACTAATCATGGCAGCATAGAGACAAGCTCTGAGCATGAGATCAACAGAGGCTGGGGTCTACCACACCAAGCAAGACCCCAGGTGCAGGCGGTGCAAAGATACCCTTAAGATAATTCAGCACATAACAGCAAGGTGCACGATGCGAGTAGGCAAGGCATACATGGAATGCTATAATAAAGTGGCTGGTATAGTATACATGAACATCTGTGCAGAGTATCAACATGGGAAATGCCCCCTAGAGTGGTTGAGAGAGGAGCTTGACAAGAAGTGGAAGGTGAAGTGACCGGTGGTGTCTGTGGTAATCTGAGCACTTGGGGCAGTGACCTCAAAGCTGGGTGAGTGGCTCGTATGTATTCTCATGCACTCTCAACACCAGAACAAGGTTGACTCGAGTAGTTGACTTGGGATGATTTGGTTTGTGTGTGAGCGCGTCTGTGCATGTGCACCAACCTGCAGGGGGTTAAACACAACAACGTGAGGCAGAAATGTCACACATTTATGCTTTTATCAGGATGTGTAACTTTGAGGGCTTCTGCCTCTGAAAGCTTCCATCATATTTCATCATGTTTCATTAAAACATTTGCATATACAGACATGGGAATCTACACACATAGATGCCCTCTAGCTACCTTGAACGAGGGGGGGGAAAGGGTATCCCATCCCTCTATAATAACAGCTATGAGCCCTACCACCATCCTAAACTCACTTTACTTTCAGTCTAGACACCCTAAACCAGGTTTTCAGATTAGTTTATATCTGTGATACTAATGTTATGTTATGGATTGATACCAATTCACCAGTTTTACTCGTGGTGGTGGTGGGGGCTTTATCAATAGGAACAGCTGCAAAACATGTGAAAAGACAGTTAAAAGTACTTCATATATTCATGTACTTCATATATTCTAAAGTTGTTAAGTGGGCCAGATTGGAGTCTTTGGCAGGCCAATTTTGGCCCCTGGGCCTTATGTTTGACACCCCTGCATAAGAGTTTTCAAAAAATGAGAAAATAAGCATAGAAATACACAAACCCCATGCTTAAATATTATATGCATGTATATATGTATCATAATAGGAACATAATTTGGGCCTGGGAAGTAATTAAAGAAGGTTATTAGCAGGAAAAGATTAACAGGATTTTAAGTGACAGGCGCAGTGGTGATAACATTACCAGCAACATTAGCATGAGCTGATGTGTTTTGTCCATGAATTAAGTTGTCAGTGAAGCTTTAATTTCCATCAGTTTTGTAGACTGTTTTGCAGCTCTGATTTATTTTTCTGTTTATTTGTGTTCATGAAAATTATTCAAGAAAAAGCCTTTTATTTGATTTCTAACTGAATATGGAGCAAACATATTAAGCACCTGCTAGTCAGACATTCTCCTATACTGGCAATGTGTCTACTGCTGTCTGCTATCTCAAATATTTCTAATATACACACAAAAACAAAAGCACATTTATAGATATTGTGTTTTCTGATAAATATAGCAGTTTCTGATAAATATAAAATACTAATTTATGGTTTTTACATTACATGCTTTTTTAAAATACTGACAATGAGCAAATATATGTAAAAAAAAAAATCATCAGTTTTTATACCATTATATTGGCATACGATTGCAACCTCAAGCTGTACTGAAGAGTTAAAATGCTCACTTGTTAGTGAGTATCCTATTATAACAGGTGAAGTTTGGATAGTCAAGCTGACAACAGTTTTAGTGCATGCTCAATATTGTAAATAATGCAGAATAGGCTGAGTCTCATAGATGTTGTCTTCATTCATTTTTACTGGTTCAGTTACACAGTAGTACTCAAGCTTTCTTTGCTTCCCTCTGTGCTTGATAGCTTGTCCAGTATGTCTGGACATGTGCAGATGTAGGCATGCAGGCGTGTATTTAATGTGATAAACACACCTTTTAGTTGAGGTCACAAAAAAACAACAGGTTAATGGTTTGCTGCTAATTGCTTTTTGATTGCCGCAGTTAATTACTAGACACACACTTCAGAACAGGTTTCCTTTATAGCACTGGTATTAACCCCACAGTGTCTTTCTCACTCTTTTCTGTGTGTCAGATTCAGAAAAAATGTCAAGTGACTTTATAGATTAATATAAAATTTGCTTACACTGTTGAATTAAAAAAAAATGCAAATATTGTGCTTTGTGACAGTAATGAAAACACATCCCAAAGTTGTTTCAGGATTATGTCTCTTGATGGCTCTGCCAAGACTGCCTTGTCTCTTTTATTTATAGCATTTTCATGTTTACAAACCTAGGCAGGTTTAAAAAATTGCAGAATAGAAAATGGTATTGGTTTTTAGAATGCCTTTTCCTTTTGATGCTGTGAAGCACAATGCTGAAAGCAAGGACACAGCAGGAACTCCAGTTCTCTGTGTTTTCTGAGGCTACACACTATTGCTAACTGCATTACTTTAGTAGATATGGCCAGATACACAGCTGATGAAACTCTGTACCCTCCACCTCAACTTTAACTCAAAACACGTGTATACTTGTGTTTCAGGGAGAAATTGTGTTTCTGTGCCAGTGTGAGTCAACGTGTACTTTGGTTAGTGAGTGAGGGATGCCTGGGGCTCATTGCTCATCTCAGTGGGTATAAATAGAAAAATTGAGAGCCAGGAATATAAGGGCATCATTGTGTGTCTGAGGGGGGTGAGAGGCTGCAAGAAGAGAAAAAAAAACATCTAATCTGATAGCAGGTGGATTCAAATCTAAAGAAATGTTAAATCTAACAGCAGGTATAATTTGTCTGATTGAAACTATATTCAAATTGGCACCAGCTAAATAACCTGGGTTAGTATAAAGTGTAATGTTAGCATCCAGAACTAATTTTTCAAAAGCAGGCTCAGATTTTTTGCAAAAGGTGCCTTCATGACACTTTTCCCCCCTTCCTCTGGGTTTTCTTGGGTCATTCATTTTTCCTTTTTCTTTTTTTTTTTTGCAGCAGCAGCAGACTTTTGGGAATTGGCCACCACCAACCCAGCAACAGCTCCTTGAAAACAGTCCAGACATCTAAACAAAATAAAGATTTGGTTAAAAACGTGAAAAGAATTGAGACATTTTTGCAGGGCACTGAAAAGATATTTAGAAAAAGAAATTCCTATGTGTGGTACAGCATGTGAAAACCTAATTTCAAAACTTTTATGCTTTGCTTCTTCTTATTAATTTTTATGCTTCCAAAAACTTTGAAACTTCTAAATTAATATGTAAAAAACAGATGCGATTTATCTAACTTTGATTATTTTTCATGAATTCTTTTCTTGAAGATGTCAAACTATGTCTGTTCTTTGAATTATCATATTGTAGCACATTCGTAAACAATTAAGTGTTGATTAAAAGCTCTATGAAAAACTAGGTTTACAAGAAACCGTCAATGGATCACATTAAATACAGCATCATCGCGACAGATTGAAAAGCCGTCTGCATTAACATTTTGCTGGCTGGCTATCCAGGTTGAACTCCTCTGCATGTGTGGAGTACTGAGGGAGGGGAATGTTTTAGGATGAGGACCACCTTCACTGTGCTGTTTATTTACAGTTTCATGTATCAGAAATTGTTTGATAAACAGCATTTTTTGGTTTTAGTATTGAAAGATATTCCACTGAAGTTGAGATAAAAATGGGAAATGATGGAACGTTGTTCTTAAATACATGAGTTCTTCGCCGTGTCTTTGGCTGATTTTTATCCATGCGGCATCAAGTATGTCATATGACACATTGCTTACCAGTTCACCACTGTTCCACCTAAGCATTTGGGAACAACACTTACATGTACTTTTCATAGTTGAAAAAAAGATAAGCTGCCATTAGTAATATTTGTACGTGTACCTGGAGCCGACATTGTGTGGATATCAGATCACAACAATTCACAACCAAACAAAATAAAAAACAACAACTAGTTGTGATCTGTACACATATTAAAATTTCAGTTTTGAAACAATGTTTAACCCATTTCTGAAAGCTTAGTACCATTTAGGCATCTTTCAGCCCTATAATCAATGGAAAATTACTGTGTGTAAGCATGAATTTATGGTTAAAATTATAGTTCTGTTTAGGTCTCTGTCAAAACTCTTCACCTTTCCATTTACTGCCACATTTAAAAGCAAAGGGGCATATTTTTAAAGACTGTGAGTGGCTGACCACATTTAGTCCAGACAACAACATCCATGGATGTCTGATGCTTTATTGGGGTACTAATTTGTCTATAGCATTTAGTATGAGTTTACTCTACTGTTAGCAGTAAATTGAAAATAGTCATTTTCCATAATCAATAACAAAGAGTAACAAATATAAGCTTTGCAGCAAAATGCAAAACAAAGAACTGTAAACAAGACATGGTATGTGCATCTGACATACTTTATCATTCACTGAGGATATTTGAGTGCTTCACACAGGGTATTGTATTCACACAGACACTAAAGTGTATTACACAGTGCATAGCGTTCTGTCAAAGTGTCACATTTTTGGTCAACTTTCTGAATAAAAGGTAGAATTGAACAAATAAGATGAGAGGGCAGCGCCTCTCATAACGTGTTAAAAGCACACAAGTGTGTGTGCTCTCAGAAGTGAATGCATACCTTAGCGTCACCACACCTGGTGTCCATATCACTGCTCCTCAAAGAGGGAAAATGCACCTGTAGAAGAGAGCGAGGGAGAAAAAAGGAAGGGGGGAGAGAGGGATACAACATTAAGAAAAAGCACTTGTCAGGTAACCCATTAGAGTACCATTACAATACCAATCTCTTTTCCACATCTTTCCCTTTCACAGTGTGTGTGTGTGTGTATATAATTCTCCTTGTGTGCCTCCAGTCACCACCGGGGATATGAGATCATTACCTGTGACTGCGAGGCTAATGTCATGCACAGCCTCAAAACACACATATACACACATAAGCGTACACACAAGCAGACTAAAGAGAATAATGTGACTCTGCCTCAGTAACAAAACTACGGTGACCGCAGGGCTCGTCTCCATTTGGATAAGGCACGCTGTTTTACAACCGGCTTCCAACACCGGCAGATGAGAGAAACAAGAGGATAGAGAGAAGAGGGAGAAATGATAGAAACATGAATTGAGGGGATTCTAATTGGAGACATGGTGGGAACGAATAGCTCGCTCTTTCTGATGGAGAAAAAAAAACAGATGAGCTGCACTAAACCGGGAAAAAGGTACAGCTGCAGACATAATGTATGCCTCAGAATACGCTCATTAGCAGTCGTGGGAATGTGAATGACAGATGCAGATGGAGATGATGGGAGGGGTGGAAATGGGTCAGAAGGTGGAGATGACTGTCCTGGCCTCTAATTAACTTTTCCATCAGCCTATGGCTCTTACTTCCTATTATCGCCACTTGCTCCTTTACTCCTACTGCAACCATATGACAAGAGTATGTAAAGGAAAAAAGGCAGGAACATGTGTCTTTGTCTACACTAAAGAGACTATTCATTTTCATACAGAAATATGCCTTTTTTAACTCTAATATTCAACATCATTACAGGCGCAGAGCAGGGATTTGAAGCACAGGTTAATGATTCCAGTTCAGATCAAGAGTTTCCATCCAAACTTCCCTCACAAAGAGAGGCTGGGTCAACTGGTCAGCTTTTTTTGACATGCAGGTCCAAATGCAACATGCTGACTTCATCACCATAAAATATTTCTCTGCATTAATCTGTGGAGACATTTGTATGTACCATATTTTTCGGACTATAAGGGCGTACTTAAAATCCTTTAATTTTCTCAAAAATCGACAGTGCGCTTTATAATCCAGTGCGCCTTATGTATGTATTCTGGTTGTGCTTACTGACCTCGAACCGATTTTATGTGGTGCATAAATATGTTTTAATACGACATTCGTAAGCTACGAAGCCGCATCGCTTGGTGGATCGTCGGAGCATTACAGCTACCGTAGTCAGGAGCCTCGCAGAGTAATCTGGGACCAAAACTCTGTCTGCTTCAGGTCCCAAAGTCAAACGAACACTGTGGCATCACTGAGAGTTAAAAACTGTCTAAATCCTTTCATCTTTAATAAAATGATCAGCGTTGCTGCTTTACCAGGTGTAACAATTAAGTTTAACATCCAGGCATCCATGAAAACTGAATTTATTAAATTTAACGGAGTTAGAAGTTAGCAGGAAGTTAGCTCGCTAGTTTCCACCTAAACATGATATACCATGTTCTGAGATTTTTGAAAGAATTAAAACATACAGCTCTGCTATCACTTCCAACATAAATGAAGACAAAAAAACAAACAGCAGTGACTTTTGTAGGGTTACTGAAGATGGACTAGGTGGTCTATAATGATGTGCTACATGATCACTAGCGACACAGCTATGTTAGCATAACATAAATACTGAAGCTGGAGGATGAACGCTAACTTTTGTCCACTCGACAAAAGTTAACGTGAGGGTTCTCGATGGTTAGGCACAAATGCAATTGCATGGCAGGCTGCTGTAAACGGACCAAACTTCAGTCAGGAGAACAACTGAGATAATCTATCCACAAAACACGGTTAGTCATTAATATACTGCAACAACATGGGAATAGAGCAGCTGCAAGAGAATTCAAAATTAATCAAACAATGATACGGAAGTGGAGGAAGCAAGAAGAATGAGTTGAGTAAAGTTTGATTTATCTGACTGTTTTATTTCGCCTAATGCGCCTTATAATCTGGTGCGCCCTATGTATGAAAACAGAGCCCTTCATCGACAGTGCGCCTTATGGTCCGAAAAATACGGTATATTCACAGAAATACAATTACTACATACACCTTCAAAGGGAGGCATGCGTGGGACTTCCATCATATAATTTTAGTGTAGAATGATGAAGCGTTTTGAGAGTCTTCAATTGCTTTGTGAATCTGGCAAATTATACTATTAATACCCAATGACCTCTCAGCATGCTTATTTTAAGATTTCAATTATGAACAATAACATAATTTCAAGGGTAGTATTATTAATTTATATGAAATCTGTAACTCTCTCTTTATCTCTGTGTATGTATGCATTCAGCCCGTTATTGAGGCCAAAAGAGTAATTCACATGATCTACAATACTAAACTATATAGTTTATTTTCTTACTGATAAACTGAAAAAAATAAAGACAGATAGGTTTATTCTATTTATTCTTGCATTGTTTAGATGCACAAACAAAAAAAACTGTGTCAGGACTTGTTTCCTCCCCCACACTGAACTACATATGGTAATGCTGTGATTCCCTCTCTCCTCAGAGTCTTCTTCTACTCCAGTCATCTCCTGTTCCCATTTAATTGTCTCTTTCAATCTAATTTTGTTTTCAATTTCAATTACTTAAACGTCACATTAGCAACACTGCACAGACACAAAGAGTATTAACAATGCGATTCACAGAACGTATGATTTCATTCTGTCTCCTTCACACTCTCGCTCTCTCGCCTCCCAAACATGCACACCGACTACGTGTCTCCCTCATAATCATGTTGGAATCATGAGGAAAGACATAGGAATATAAAATATTAACTGCACATTTATTCTAGGCAAGCAGAATATGAAATAAATTAATCATGGCGTACAAGGCTGTCTAGATTCTTATCCTTTATCCTTATCTGTCTTCATGTGCTGTGATGTGCGTCGCAGGAAATTAACAGTGGCCAATGACAGCGACCAGTGTGTGCACCATATGTATATATGTGTAAGTGTGTGTGTAAAATGATCTAACCATTTCATATCTATTACTAAATGCAGCAGCGCCACTTGTTCTTCTCACATTTTATCTACGTGCAGCGATTTTTCCTGTCCCCCAACCGACCCAAACCAGTTAAATCAGTAATGCAATGCCTTCTGTGGTTTGAGTACCTTTGCAACACCTGAGAAAATTACTCTGATAACGGCATGGTGGTTTCTTCCTGTTAAAAGGGAGTTTTTCCTTCCCATTGTTGCCAAGTGCTTGCTCAAATAGGGTCGTTTGGTTGTTGATGTTGGCGGCACCTGGTTTCAAATCAAATCAAATCACTTTTATTGTCACATCACATGTGCAGGCACACTGGCACAGCACATGCGAGTGAAATTCTTGTGTGCGAGCCCCACAAGCAACAGAGATGTGCAAACACAACAACACAAACGAGCAAAATACAAGAATGGCCAACCTGAAACTAATAAATATATGTACATGCATTTCTGTTTGCATCTTCCATGGGGTGGGTTCCATGTGATGGCGAGCTTAGGCAGTCAATGTGGGGGTTGACGTAGAACATGGCCTCCAAAGCGCACACGCCGCTCAGTCACAATGTCCTGGAGGGGACGTGTGGCAGTTTGACGGTGTACTTCTTCGTTGGTGACATGGTCGCAGTAGGAGACCCCCAGGATCCATCTTAGCCATAGCTGCTGGGCCACATTGAGTCTTTTGGTGATTCTGGCTGATGTTTTCCACGTCTCATAGGCGTAGATCGCGGTAGGTATAACGATGGAGTTGAGCAGGCGAATCTTCGTCGCCAGACCGATATTTGAGGTCGACCAGGTCGTCTGGAGCCGCTGAAAAAACGCACCCGCTTTTACAATTCGACACGTAACCTATCCTCATGACCTTGGTCTTGTTTCCATTGATCCGTAAGCCCACCTTGGCTGCCTCTTGCTCCAAGCATGATGTCATAGTAGTAATGTTTTTCTGGATGTCGGCCAACAAAGCGATGTCGTCTGCGAAGTCGAGGTCATTCAGGCGTGTTGGTGGATGCCAGGGTATCCCAAAGCCATCTTGGTCCATGGCACTCCGCATAACAAAGTCAATGACAAGAAGGAAGAGGAAGGGAGAGAGGATACACCCTTGCCTCACACCGGTCTCGATGGTGAAGAAATCCGTGTAGCCCTCCTCTGTGCGAATGCAGCAACTGGAATGAAGGTATAGAGTTTAGAATATTTTGACAAACTGCTCAGGGATGCCATATGACCGGGCAAAATTCCAGAGGGAATCTCGATGGACACTATCAAATGCCTTTGTGAAATCGACGGAAGTAATTGAGAGGCGGAGGTTCTGGTCCACCGCCTTATGGAGTCTTCGGAGGAGGACAATGCTAAACACTTTGCCTGGAACAGAAAGGAGTGTGATTCCTCGCCAGTTGTTGCAGTCTGCCAGGTTGCCTTTTTTGGGGAGCTTTATAATGACTCCTTTTCGCCACTCTTCTGGCACTCGCATCGATGACCAGGATGAATTGAAAAGGTCCGTTATTTCATTGATGAGGCACTGTCCGCTGTGCTTAAGCAGTTCCGCAGACACTATGTCCAGACCTGGCACTTTGCCATTTTTAAGGAATTTGATAGCAGCTGCTGTTTCCTCGGTGGTTATGGCCCTGAATCAGTACCACCCACCCCCACCCCACTAGCTCATTAGTCTTTAACACTCCCGACCAAGCCAACGACTTAGACATGAGGACAGATGCCATAACCACTGAGAAAACAGCAGTTGTTGTGATTTAGTGCAATATAAATAAAACTGAATTGAATTGGAAAGAATCCCTGTGTTATTTGGTTTTAAATAAAATACTGTTTTAACTGTTAATTAGCGCAATTTTTATAAAGTTTCTCCATTTTTACAGACTTGAAATTGATCAGACAAATAACTGATAAGCAGAGGTGGAAAGTAACAAATTACATTTACTTGCGTTAC